AATGAGTGAGGGGCTAAGGGCCTTTTTTACCTTTTTATTCACATAGTATTTAAAAGAAAAATGAGCCTAATGTAAATCATGTAATAAGAAATACTATTAATTATTAACTAATAGTCTAATAAAATATTAAAAACTAAATTGAAGTATTAAATAAGTAATTACTATTATTAATCAGGTGAGTCTATTTTTTCTATTCTTAATTCCTAATTGGTTCGGTTGGGTAAAATCGAACCCTTATAATTTTAGAACCGATAACAAGTTGGTAACCGATAATCAATTACCTTATAAATGAGTCGGTATGATTCAATTTATTTTCTCATCGATTCGATTCATTTTTCTGTTTTCGGTTTAAAAATGCCAGCCATAGTTGCCGGTTGTATCGAAATTAGTATTGTTTATAGTAAACTATAGATAGGATATTGATTATTGAATTCTTATTTAGAGAAATGTCATTATACAATATAATAATATATATATATAATTACATATTATACATAAAAATAAAGAAAAAATTATATATTAAATTAAACCAGTTTGACCACTGGTCCAACCAGTGAACCATTGAACCGTTAGCTTAACCGGTTCGATGACCGATTCAGACCTTGCTCAATTGGCTTTAGAGGCCTCAGATTTCATATCTTGGTTTCTTCATCAGCGCTGATGTTGATCTTCTTCTAATCTCGCGCCGCGTCGGCTAGATTTTATGGTCGATTCTCAACAGCTCTTCCGGTGTGGTTTCACCTTCGATTTTTTCATTTATGAAAGGGATTTTGATTAGGATTTTCTTCGATCTCTAGATCTCGTCCTCGTCGGCTTCCTTCGCTTTCGATTTCGTTTCAAACTTCTGAGTACCTCGCTCGGGGTTTGTCTTATGTTCATGGCGGAGTGTTTTGCGGCATAGTGAGAAGGAAAGATAGGAATTTTGTTCGTGTATCTGGATCGAAAAAATCAGAAGAATACATTAGGTGCAGCTGACAGAGGAGGTGAGGACGGAGGCGCTGATTGGGAAGGAGTGAGCATTTAGGGTTGGGGGAGATAATGATTAAACACTTTAGAATTAAGGACCATGCTGTCGTTTTGATCGCTTAGCCATTAAGATTGTACAAGATGGTGCGTTTTTGTACACAGAAAATGAAAAAAAGAAAAGAAAAATGGATGAAATCAAAGACATTTTGGTCATCTAACATGGACACGTGTCAGCCAAAGAAGGCCACTAAAAAGGACACTTGTCAACTCATAAATGTCACATATATCTTGATGTAGTACTAGTAGAGATATGTCTAATTACTAAATAATTTAGGCGACTTAATATTTTTTAAAAATAATAGGGATATATATTTTAGATAATTTATATATGTTATACAATATTTTAGGTATTTTTAATATTGTAAACATATTTGTTTTATGCTATTTTATATAAGACATTTATATTATAAATTATATCAAATGTTAATTTCAAATTTTTATTTTTAATTATTATTTAATATTGTTTACTTTATACCACGGTATTGAAATAAATGATAAAGGATAGGGCGTCAAATTATGACATCATGTCACTTGAGTTACATTATTGTATTTTTTATTATATATTTTCTTTATTATGATAAGTCTAAAAGTTAATTAATTTTTTATTTTGGGCTATTCATATTCGTACCAGTTTCCGGCTATGGCGCTGCGCCAGTCACACCATGATATATAAATGTATTTTCTAATGTATTGATTGATAGTTGATACCCCTTTTTCAGTTTTTCTTAAATAAAAAGAGAAAAAGATAAATAAAATAAAGGAGTTATATGATATTTTTTTTTTGTCACGATAGAAAGGATTTATATTAGAGCATGCTTGAATATAAAATTTCTCACAAAAATCTAAATATTTTTGACCTAATTATTTTTTTAACTCAACTTTAACTTAGCCCCACTATTATCAATATTATCAATATATTTAAATAATAATCAATCAATCATTCTTACACACCACCTTACCTTAATTTACTATTCATCCACTCACATAATTTTAACTAACCATCACTTCAAATCTTCTCTCTTACTTTACATCAAATCAACTTTAATCATTTTATTTTAAATATGAGTATTATTCTAATACACCCACTAACAACTAACTATACAAATATTTCCAAAATTAATCAAACCAAACAAAAAAATTCAAACAAAACCAAATTTTTTTATATCCAATCATTGGTCAAGAAGGTTTGTTTTTGCAAAAAAAAAGAAGGTTTAAATGAAAATGAATAGGGAGTGTATTCAATTCGGAATTTAAGTGACATTTTAAGACTTTTTGAGATTTGAGACTTTCTAGAATTTTCAGATTTTGGAAGAATTCTATGAAATCTCAAGTTCGGAGGTAAGATTTGAAGTGGGATTTCATATAAGGTTTTTTGTTTAAAAATCCTACTAAATCTTAAAAAGTCTTAATAAATCCTAGTGTCAAAAAAATTAAATAACTCAGAATTTTGTAAGACTTTTAAAAATCTCAATTGAATACCTCAGGATTTTCAAAAATTTTAAAAAATCTTAACAAATTTAAATTGAATACACCAAAATTTCTAAAGTCTTAAAAAATCCTTAAAAATCATAATTAAATACATCCCCAATTCAAAACCATTAAGCCCCAAACGCACACTGACACGTCCTCACTATAATCACACAACCATTAGCCAATCTCCTGCCACGTGTGCGGTTCAGATCTCTTTATCCCCATCCCCATAAAAAGTCGTTTGTATTCTTATTCTTATTCTTATTGAAAGAAAATCCCAAACCAGTTTCTCTCTCATCTTCTTCTCCACCAATACCGAAAAACCACCGCAAATCAGCCGAAAACCTGCCGGAAAATTATAGAATCTGAATTTCAGCTCCAAATTTCCAATATAGAACAAGCACTTTGATTTTCCCTCCTTTCCTCTTTTGTGCCCCTTCAATTTGAAGTTTTAATTCGTTAGGGTTTTGAAGATTTGAATTTTGATCATCATCATACATGGTGTCCGTGTACCCAAATCCACCTCCAGATCGGGATTTTACTTACGGTTTTCATATGGGCGGGGATCAGATGAAGTTCCCGGGTCTGAACGGCGATGAGAACAAGAACAGCCTGCTTCAAACGGCGCCGGTTGGGAATGTGGCTCCGGGTGTGGATGACCCGCATAAGAAGATCCGAAAGCCGTACACTATTACCAAGTCGAGAGAGAGCTGGAGCGAGCAGGAGCACGACAAGTTCGTTGAGGCGCTTCACCTGTAAGTCTGTTGTTGGCTGTGTAAGTATTTTTTTCAGAGTGTTGTGTGTGAGTCAGTGAGTGTGTTTGGATGAGTGATGAATAGTATTTCAAAGAGATTGGTGAAATTGATGATCTTTTGAATTTTTTCGTGTGATCATTGGTCAGTAGTTATTTTTCCTGTAAATTGAGTGCTGGGTGTAGAGAAGTTTTGCAGAAACTCAAGTTCTTTGGTTTTTTGATGTTTTGTAAATGGGGTTGGGTATGTTTTACTAATGTCGTGGTAATTTTTCTTGTTTTGTTGATTATATGCGAAATATGCTGGTGTAGTGGTATGCTACTTAACAAATGAAATTTCGAGTTTTAATGGAAGATCTTTCTGTAATATTGGGAACGTGCTCACATATTATGGTTGTTGATTTCGCCCTTTTCAGATTTGACCGTGATTGGAAGAAGATTGAAGCATTTGTCGGGTCAAAGACTGTTATCCAGGTGATCCCAAGTTGACCAACACTTTTGTTATGTTTTTGTTAATGTCAGGTGACTCTGATTTTTCTCTACGTTTCTTAACTAGGTAGTTTCATCTCATTTATTAAAGAGGTGACGGTGAGGAATGATCCTGACATCCTTCATCATATTTATGTTTTGATTGAGTGTGCACCCTAGTTGCATGTGCTTATTCCTGGATTTCAGTTGCAATAGGTGATTTGTGTTCAAATCATTGTCTCACTTTTTTTTTTCTTGTTGTGGTAGTTCCTTGCCTTTTGGTATTTTTATGCTTTCCTTCCGAGTGAATAGTTTACACTACTCACCACCTCCGGCTGAGAAGGTTGCATCATTTGAGAATTATATTGCCATATTCAAATATTGATGGATTAGTTGATAATATAGTGCCAAAAAATATGAATAATTTTGTACCCAGACACTAGTCTTTTGCTTCATTTTTTTTTTTTTCAAAATAAAATTAAGGGCATCTGCATTCTTTTTCCTCAGCTAAAGAAAATGGTATCTGCAGATTCGAAGTCATGCTCAGAAATATTTTCTAAAAGTCCAAAAGAATGGAACAAGCGAACATGTACCTCCTCCACGGCCAAAGAGAAAGGCAGCCCATCCTTATCCACAGAAGGCCCCAAAAAATGGTTTGTTACCTTTGCATTTTCTATTGTTCTCTTTCACATGGTATCATGAGATTCAAATCATACTCTCCTTGTAACTCTACATAGATGCGTCTCAAGCCATCGGTCCTCAGCAATCTTCAGTTGCTTTAGTGGAGCGTGGATACAGTGTGGGGTCTGATTCTTTGTCAATATCCGAAAATCCAATGAGCACTCAACCTTTGTCTTCTTGTAATTACAATGTTTTGCCAGCAGGATTTTTGCCGCGTACACTTAAAGGTAATTTTTTTTTTTTTTTTTTTTTTTTTTTTTTTTTTTTTTTCGCTGGAAATGTTGATGTTGTATTTCGTTTGGAGATGTCTCTGGTAAAAGGTTGTCCTGTTTTTTCAGATGATATTGGATTAGTTAGTGGCACCAATAATTATAGCAGCAGCAACAACGAGAGCAATCCCTTTGTGGGTAGAATAGATGAGATGCGTCGTTCAGTGAAAACTCGCAACAATGCCACAAGAGGTCGGCTTCCCTTTCTTTCTATTCTTTTACTCTGTTAGTTCTGCCTGTGTGATGTTGCGTAATGTCAAAATAGTAAGGGTTTTGTCAGCCATCAGGGTTTTTGGCACTTGCATGTAATTATGTCTAAATATCTATTTTAATGAGGACGACGTCATATGCTATTCAATTGTTAACTTAAAATTTTAGTTTGAAACAATTGTATTGTTTTTGTTTACTTTCAGAATGAATCTAAGTTTGCTACTATTGTCTTTGTGGTTGCAGTTATGCCAGATTTTGCTCAGGTTTATAGATTCATTGGCAGCGTCTTTGACCCTTGTGCAAGTGATCATTTGGAAAGACTTAAAACAATGGACCCTTTAGATGTAGAGACGGTAAGTCAAATTTCCTTTCTTATCCCTATTTATGCTTTTGCAAGATATACCTAGGATCCATCTTTTTGCACAATCTGATTCTGGGGTTTTGGGGGATGAAGATAATTATTGAGATGTGACACAATTGAGAGTTCGCGACATTTACTGCAGGCGGTGATGTTAATGAAGAATCTCTCTGTCAACTTGGTCAGCCCTGAATTTGAGGACAATGTGAGTTACTACTTTCTTTACTTTGTTATTGTTCACATGCTACCATCCTGGGAATTTACCATAAATACTTGTACATACTTCCGAGTTTTTGATAGTCCACATTTTGTTTGCCTTCTGTACTGTTGTTGATAGTAGGAGTTGTTGTTCCGTCTCGTTATCATGATTGAGCTTTCATAGTACCACTTTGTTGGAGCTATTTATTCATGTTGCATTGATCCTCTCTCTCTCTCTCTCTCTCTCACACACACACACACATTTTATTCCCTGGATGAAATTGTCAAATATGAGTTATGAAAAATTACCTTGGGTTCTTTTGGTTAATATATTGATGCAATTGTTTCTTGATCTAGTGTGCACTCTACTCGGTGTCGATAGAGAAAGAGATATGCGCATTCCATTCTTGTTATGATTCAAACTCTCGTGTCTCATAATATTGAAATCAACTCATGATCAGAAGGTTATATTACTCTCGGTAGAGGATAATTTGTATATTGAGTGCACTTGTAGGATTGTAAGTAAGTCATATCACAGCATTTTGTGAGAATATATTCGTACCTCGAGTCTTGTGATCCTTTTTCCTGCAAAATACAATCTGCAAATATATAGTCTAAGCATGTGAACGTGTCGCTATATAAACTCCAACAACCTTTGGCTTTTTTGACATGAACATCATACATTTGTTTGTTTGCATGCTTTTTTTCCTCTTCCTTTTTTCCTTTTGAGAACAGGACGCGCATTTTAATCCCAGTAATTCCCTTAATTCTCCATGTTAATGCTACTGAGTTTATCTAAATATTGTTATGTGATGATTGTTAGCAAAGAAGACTGCTATCGTCGTACAACAATGGCTTTCAAAGCAATGCCGTGAGAAATAAGATACAGCCTGCATGAAGTTCTGGTAAAACTTAATATCTTAATTGGACATTTGCTCAGCACAAGTTGTGTTTGAAGCAGACCAAATTCTGTCGAGATCCTTGTTATCAGTCGGTGTTTTATGTATTCGAAGCCGGGAATGATTACCTCTGTAGATTAGTCTCAACTGTGTGTATATATATTTTGAGCAGAAGATGAGTGTGTACTACTGTTCCATGTATAGCAGTGTTTGAGCAATAGTGCTGCATTTCTCGTGTTTGTGGCTTCTTTTAGTCTTCCATAAGTCGATAAAAAGGGAAGGTGACAACTGACGAGCAATTAGTTCGTTTTTGGGCCGTGCTTTACGTTTTTGTATGATATGAGTTCTGCTCGTCACACGAGCCGTTTTGCTTACATCTCGGCACAGGACTAATACTTACTATTTCTCGTGAATAATTGGATTGGTTTTTTCTTGCTAAAGTTGGAAAGAGTCGGACCTACTTTTTGGGCAAAGGCGCGTGGGATTTTAACCATCCGATTATATATACTAACACATACTGGGCAGATGTGTTGATCGAACGCCGAACGGTTAAGATCCTTAGGTTAGAACCATTGGATTATACTCACACAGAGTGGGTATATCTTGATCTGAGTTAAGATTCTGTGGATCAGTGCACGTGATTAAAAAAAAGGAATGTATCAGCAACTATGAAAATATTATATATATATATATATATATATATATATATATATAGCTCTTAAAATGCGTCCAACTCTTAAAATGTATCTAGCTCTTAAAATGCGTTCAACTCTTAGCAACTACAGACAACTAACCTAATAACTACATAAAACTAATCTTGCAATTATATATAACTAACCTAGTTACTATAACCTAGCAACTATAAAAAACTAACCTATCAACTACTAACTTAGCAATTACAGAAAACTAACTTAGCAATTATTGAGAACTAACCTAGCAACTACAGAGAACTAACCTAGCACCCACAGAGAACTAACCTATCAACTACTAACTTAGCAACTACAGAGAACTAACCTAACAACTACAGAGAACTAATTTAGCAATTACAGAGAATTAACTTAACTTAACAACTATAGAAACCTAACATAGCAACTACAGAGAACTAACCTAGAAACTACAGAGAACTAACCTAGCAACTACATACAACTAACCTAGCAACTACAAAAAACTAACCTAGCAACTACATAGAACTAACCTAGCAACTATTGACCTAGCAACTACAGAGAACTCACCTAGCAACTAGGGAAAACTAACCTAGCAACTACTAACCTAGCAACTACATATAACCTAGCAACTACAGAGAACTAACCTAGTTGGAAGGTTAGTTGTCAACAGTCAGCGCCGGAAGTCAACGGTCAGTGCCGGAAGTCAACGGTCAACGCCGGAAGTCAACGAGTCAAAATAATATTTAAATAATTAAAATAATAAAAAGAAAATAGTAAATCTTGGCCACACATGATGTACCAAATCTTGTGGCTAGAAATGAGTCTCACGTCCACATTTAAATAAGTGGATGCATTGAAATCAATCCAAAATATATATATATATATATATAATTTTTTTTTCGTTAAGAAAATTAATGAAAAATACTTTATAAAAAAGAATCAGCATGCGCCCAATCGTATTCATGTATAATTTTTTTTTTCGTTAAGAAAATAAATGAAAAATATTTTATAAAAAAGAATCAGCATGCGCCCAGTCGTATTCATGTATCTTCGAATTCAAATCGTTCGGATTATATAACATCTAAGAAAGTTGAAATAACAACCTACTTTGGATTTAAATATAATATTAAGTATGTATTAGAATCTTGAAGAAAATTGGCTGAACTTGATTGGTCTGTCGTTGGGGGAAAAAGGAAAAATTAGGTTGAACTACAATTAAAATTTTGATTTTATATATATATATATTATAGCTCGGCTCGTTAAGAGCTTATAATCGTGATTAAGCTCATCTCATTTATCAATATTAACGAATCGAGCCTGCGCCTCAATGAGTCAAATTGTAAAAAATTAGATAATTTTTTTTTTTTGAGCCTTAACTCATTAATCAAATGAACTTTAAATGAGCTCGAGTTCGATGCGTTTATCAAACGAGCAGAATCGATTCGAGTCAAATTAACGAGTGACTCATTTCATTTAACAGTTCTATCTAATATACAATCTTATAATCGTGATTAAGCTCATCTCGTTTATCAATACTAACGAATCGAGCCTACTCCTCAATGAGTCGAATTGTAAAAAATTAGATAATTTTTTTTTTAGCCTTAACTCATTAATCAAATCAACTTTAAATGAGCTCGAGTTCGACGCGTTTATCAAACAAGCAGAGTCGATTCGAGTCAAACTAACGAGTGACTCATTTCATTTAACAGTTCTATCTAATATACAATCTTTGTGATGTAGCATAGCATCGTGACTTGTAATATAGTATTGAGGAAGGCAGCTAGAACCGGTATGACGATCTAATTAAATTGGGTTTATAGGCCGAGCTCGGATAAGCTCGGCGACGGAACTATGAACAAGTACTACCAAAGTGTACAAGGGCCAGCTGAAGGGGCATTCAAGAAAGGCCGAACTTAGAAGAGTTCGGCGGGTTATAGGCATGCTCGGCTTAAATGGATGAAGTTGAGCTCGGCGGCCGGTGGAAATGAGCCCGACAGAACGTGTGTAGAGGTCTTTAGCTCGCCGACGAGGTGAGATGTTATAACATGGCACTCCTACGGATATCACGGAGATTCTCCGAGAAGTGGGGTCATGTAGGACTTTAACTCTATTTAAATAAAACGTGCGTCATTGAGAGGTAGAGCGGGGGAAGGACTCTGGGTACAGTAGGAGTCTTCCTAGAGCCGTTTCTCTCCAGTATAAAAGTCGACTGGTTCTTTTCTCAAATCTCAAAGCATAAGATAAAACACACATAACATATCAAAATATACTTTTGTCTCTGATATCTGCTACTTCTTTCGAAGTCTTCACTGACTTGGGCGTCGGAGTGTTTGCGTCGGGACCACCCCCAGGTATTTGCAGGTTACTGGCGATTTAAGGAGGACAAACCGATTCGGAGAAGCGGTCCAACGGTTCAAGACAATTTAATGTAACACTTCGTTTTTTTTTAAGTTGGATAATCCGATGTCATGGTTATAATGCATTATTAATAGTTTTACTTTTTTTGCCAATGTAGTTTTGTTCAATGCATTTATATAAAAAAATATATCCATTAATAATGATACACTGATACTACTCGAATAAAATAAATTCCTGCAACCCTATGGGTACTTTTATATAATTAATTAGCCACCAATTTCAATTTACACGAGATTTGTTTGACAATTTAAACACTTTTCTCCTAGTAATTACGCTTTATAAGTTGTAAGTTTATTATAAAAAAATTTCCTCTTCTCACCGTCAATGTATTGATGAAATTGGCGAGTTTATCCATGTAAGAAAATACATTTTCAATCGAGAATCTTTTGTGTTTTTGAATAAATCAGCCAAATAATTCAACCTCAACAATCCAATTCAATATTTCCACATGAAATTTTTTGGAGAAAAAAATTCACCTGCAAAAATACCTTTCTATTTATATATTTACGAATTTCGTTTAATTACAAATATAATAACTTTTATATATTGTGAATTACTAATTTATGATTTTATTTCAATGATGGTTTGATATCCAGAAACTGATGTTTGACCCACTCATTCTCGACCGGGCGACTTTCAGAACCAAAATTTATTTATAATTCTTTTTTTTTTTGAAAAAAAGGTACACACGGAATTCTATAACATGACCAACGACAAAAGCCCAAAACTACGGCAAACGTTTTATTTTATTTTCTCTCTATAAATTCCATTTATTCCCATAAAGGTCACCTGTGACATCACAGTTAATTTAATTCTCTTTCTTCCTTATAAAAGATTGAAATCTGTAAAATATTTTGCCAGGTTTCTCCAATCCTCTGCATCTCTGACCGAGGTACGCTAATTTTAATTTCTCAATAAAATATTTGTCAAGGTTTTGTTGTTCATTTTTTTTCTCATAAGTTTGTTGCCACTGACTAATCGGAGATTTATCCTTTAGAATTCATCAAAAGTACATTTATATAAATCCATTTTTATGATCTGACGGTTGATCGGGGCTCTCAATCTCCGGCAATTGCCTGTCGAAAATCATTAAATGTATAGTAATGTAATGTATGTGTATATCATATAGTCGAAGGCTCTTCAGGATTCTCTTTAGCTGAAGTACACAACATCTTTTCTGATCAGGTCTCAGGCAAAAATGGATCTCACTCTAAGACTCTTCAATTATCCTAACGGTTTTCTATTCCAAAACCAATCCGAAGTTGGTAGTGTCGGTAGCAACGGGCATTCAATTGGTTCAATCGATCTTAATTCTTTCCCGGATAACGATGAATCTCTTACAATTGCCTCGTCAAATGCTCCGAACATTGTCACGGATAAGTCGAGTAGCGAGAGTCGGGTGGTTTGGGATTTCGGCAAGGGAATCAGCCGGTCACTTCCTATTGAAAGCGACGAGTCGAGTGTCGGTCGAGTTTTTTCGCTTGAGGACAACGCAAAATGTGGTCCAAATGAGGTGAATGTCAAAAAAACGCGTTTCGGAACAGGGGAGGAGCGAAAATTGCCCGACGTCTGTAACGAGTCGAACGAGGATTTCGATGATGTAGTTTACACGCTCGACCGGCGAGAGGAGGAGCTCGCGGCTTACATGTCCGGCTTGCAAATTACGGCGAGCAAGAGCGTTGTTGTGACAAATGAGAAAATCAGTAGTAACAAAAAGAAGTCAAAGACGAAGACGAAGAAGAAGAAAAACGAAGAAACGATCGATTACACGGCTCTTTTGATCGGTTGCGCCGAATCGATATCCTCGGGCGATCTCCCGAAAGCGAAACAAATGCTCGGAAAAATCCGGCAGCACTCGTCCATCTGCGGCGACGCGGGCCAGAGGGTGGCCCACTACTTCGCGGAAGGCCTCGAGGCCCGTGCGTTCGGGACGACCGACGTGCGAAACGGGCCGGGCCCTTCCGACTACTTAAAAGCCCATTGCATGTCGGTCGTGTTCTCCCCCTTCCGCCGAATCCTCAACTTCGCCTCGAACTACATGATCGCGGCCCGTTCCGTGAAATCCGCGAGAATCCACGTCATCGACTTCGGCATCTCTTTCGACTTCCAATGGCCGATCCTCATCCGGCGCCTGGCATCGCGCGGCGGCGGGCCGCCGACGGCCCTCCGGATAACTGGGATCGACTTCCCGCTCCCGGGCCCGCGGCCTGCGGAGCGGGTCGACGAGATGGGCCGGCGGCTTGCCCGGTACGCGGAGGCCCACGGAGTGCCGTTCGAGTACAAGTCGGTGGCGCGCGCGTGGGGGGACGTGACGCGCAAGGACCTCGAGATTCGTTCCGGAGAGGAGTTCGTGGTGGTCAACCTCTCCGAGAGGGCGAAGACTTTACCGGACGAGATGAACGCCGCGTTCGAGAAGTCGAGGGCGAACGTGCTAGAGTTGATACGCGAAGCGAAGCCCGATATCTTTGTTCAAGGGGTGGTGAACGGGTCGCACGGGAATTCGTTCTTCTTGTCTCGTTTTCGGGAGGCGCTCTTTCACTACTCGGTGGTGTTTGATATGTTGGAGACGACGGGTGGGAATGGTGGGGGTGGGGCGGAGAGGATGGTGGTGGAGAGAGACGTGATTTGGAAAGAAGTGATGAATGTGGTTGCGTGCGAGGGTTGGGAGAGGGTGGAGAGGCCGGAGACGTATAGGCAGTGGCACGGGAGGAATGTGAGGGCGGGATTTAAGCAGGTCGCGCTCGAGAAGGGGTTGATGGGCGAGTTGGAACGGAGGTTGAAGGGATTTTACCACAAGGAACATGTGATAGTCGAGGAGAATCGGTGGTTGTTGATGAGCTGGAAAGGACGGACGTTGTACGCGTTGTCCTTCTGGAGACCGGCGGGTTGAGAGCTCGTTTTTTTCGACTTTTAGGACCGTGTTTTGTGATGGAATATGTAGGTGAGGAAGAGTTGTGAGTTAGGAAAGTAACTAAGCCTTTGTTTTCAGGCTGAACTGAAGCTTAAGGTTTGTGTGTTTGTTGACATTGTTGTCATCCATAGAAAGAAAGTAAGAAACATATTAATGGCATTGCTCTCAGATAGTTTTTTTTTAGGGGTTCGGTTCAGCCTTGATTTGTCCTTTAACAGTTTAACTGCTATTTGTTTTTGTTACTGTTTGTGTTTATTTGTACTGTTTTGGTCTTCACAAATTGGATGTATTGTTTTTGTGTATGATGTGTATCACAAAGGCCTAAAAAGTTAAACGGATCCACTGTCTAACAAATGTATGTTTTAGAACACTGCAAATCTGGTGTAGAATAGTGAACTTTAATGTTTCAATTCTTATATTTTCATAGCCATTAATACAAATTACCATGATTATTTGTTAACAATAGTCAATAGGTCAATTAAAAAAAAAACAAAAGTGGTTGTCTCCACGAAAAAGAAAGATGGAAAAAGCCTTTTATCAATAAAAAAAATAAAATAAAATTATGCATGAATATAATACAACAATTAGAGTTGAATTAATATTAAAATAATAAGATATTTCTTATAATAATAAATATTTATAATTATGCAACTGATGGATAGTATTTTCTAGTTAAAATATAATTAATATATGTTTTTTAGTTATTAATAATATTAGAACAGAAAAATAAGATATAACAGAGTATATTTTATAAAAAAAATTGTGAATATATTCTTTTCCATAAAATTACTAATGGAATATTTTCACCACATTTATTTCATGGCCACCATTGGTCGAAGGCTCGAAGCAGAAGATAATCCAAACTACAAAGAAAAAAAAAAAAGACAAAAACAATAAAAAAACGCGGGAGAACAATTTCATCATTTTCCCCTTTTCTTTCCATGGCAAGTTTTATTTCCGTTCCCTCCGTCGTCCCAAACTTCCATTGCAGCCGCCGCGATCCAATTCTCCGTCAAAAACACGGCCGGAAAATCCGCAAACTCCGGTGCTGCTCAAAGAGACCAATCAACCACTCATCACCCAACGACAAAAAATCCGAACCTGAAAAGATGGTCCTGAAAATCGCTTGGTACGGATCTGAACTTCTCGGAGTAGCTGCTTCACTCCTCCGTTCTCCGGCGAAGTCTGAGGACACCGGAGCCGCCGTTGAGCTCGCTGTAGACGGATTAGGGAAAGTCGATCGAGCCGCCGTCGTGGAGACCATCAAGGAGGATTTCAGAAGATCATATTTCGTTACAGGTAATTAGAGCATTAATGTACTTGCTCCTTTCGGTAAATATGTTTGGATTACTGCTATATGGCTGCGGAATGATTGTGAAACATGAAAAAATGAAATTGATTAGATTCATTTGCATTGATGGATGAGATTGTGAGCATCGGACTCATCAATTATGGATTTTGTTTATGAAAGCATGGTAATAGGTAAAAGTGTGATTGATTTGTCATTTGTTCTGCATATCATTAGGAAACCTTGCGCTTGATGCTTATGAAGAGGACTGTGAATTTGCTGACCCGGCAGGCTCATTCCGTGGTCTAAGTCGTTTCAAAAGGAACTGCACGAATTTTGGGTATCTAATCGAAAGGTCGGATATGAAGCTCATGAAATGGGAGGATTTTAAGGTGAACTCAACAAACGTGCATATTCGGTGTTTCATAATTACATTTACAACTATTTGTAAGATGTTTGTCGTACAAACTATTGATATGCTTGATATATGGAATTTGTATGCGATTTTGTCATGTTTTGGTTTCTGTGAAACAGGATAAAGGAATCGGGCACTGGCGTTTCAGCTGTGTCATGGCTTTCCCGTGGAAGCCTATACTATCAGGTAAACTAAAAACATTGTACCCTTAATGTTTTGCCTTATTACACAACGCCCCATCTATCGTTCAACAGATTCTTGATATTAGTTTCGAAATTACGTATTTGCTCCCTTTTTTGTTGGGATGTTTTTCACTTTTCTCACTAGAATGCGAGCCTCAGGGGAGTGTTTGCAATGCTTTCAAGGGATACTGTAATTTTGAAACATATCTTGAGTCTTTATGCAATTAGATTAACTGCATTATAGTCATGCTCAAAACCATGGATTTCAACTTTTAACAGTGCACTTGGTATTTGCATTATTGATCTAATATTTGCTTCGTGACTTGTTGCAGCTACTGGCTATACAGAGTATTACTTTGATGAAAAATCTGGGAGAGTATGCAGGTACGGTCATTGACTAATTGATTAATTACTAGTATTTCTTTCCTTACCAGTCATTTATGTACCAATTTCTCTGACTCTAGTCAGCTTATCTGTATTGTTTTTCAGGCACGCTGAACACTGGAATGTTCCAAAAATGGCTCTTTTGAAGCAGTTATTGAGGCCTAGCAGGGGACCTAGGAAATAAAGCCCCAAGTAGAAACATGATATGTTTGAACTTGATGAGGACAAAGCAATTCATGACCTTCCCATAATACTAGGTAAGAACTGTCCGTATACATTATCTGTATATATGTTGCTCGTTTGGGTTTAATTTCCTGCTAAAAACTGTTGTAATATGAGTGTTAAATAATGAAGTCAACCATCTCCTCTTAACTACTAATCTCTTGGGACTATTGTTAATAGTTGAGTGTAAACAAATTGAATGAGACAAATTGAATGGGAACCAATATCTCATCTTTTCTTGAATTGCGTGAAGAGATTTATCATCAAATTTGTCCTTTTCCCAAATGATTGTCCAATTAAATTATAATAACAATTTTGAGTATTGGATACTGTGCCAATTTGATGGCAATTTGTCTATTCCTCTCCCAATGGCTTCTTTACTTTATCGGAATAATTATTTTGCTCCCTTATCTTTCAGTATAAATATGCGTGTTCAGTTGTTGAACATAGTGCACCGAACAAGAAAAGAAACACACGGCTGAAGAGAGAAAAAGAGAGGAAAGAAAGAAAATCAATCTAAAATAATTTTGGAGGGATAAAAGATATCAGAGAGAAAAATATAGAAATATTTATTTGTTATCAAAATAACAAAAGAGAGATATTTTTATTCCTATTTTTAAGTGTTCAATTCTCGACTACGTTCCAGTTCGCCGGAGCTCGTAAATCTGGTGTGCTACAGATTTAGAGACGTTTGCCGTTGTATCTTTGGGGAAGTTACGCCTAAACCGTTAGCTGCCACACGGGGCGTATTCTTCTTGCGGAAAGAGTTTTACTCGTCTCGGCTAAAATCTTTCCGTTTTAAGTTTTAATTTATTTTTCGGTTGTAATTTATTTTCAGTTCGATTGTAATTTTCTATTTTTTAGATTATTTGTAAGAACTGAAAAATACATATCAGTTCGTAGGATTCCCGTGTATTTTTATACCTAGTTGATAACAATCGCAAGAAGAATATTCAACCTACTGGACTGATGGCATCCACCGGAAATGGTTCGAACACTCAGCATCCGATCAATCATGTACCTGCTGTTCATGTTCCTACTACTGAGAAGCCCGAAAAATTCAATGGGCTTGATTTTAAAAGATGGCAACAAAAGATGCATTTTGACCAGACCACTTTGGGTTTGGTGAAGTACCTGAAGGACGACCCCTCGGTCATTGCTGAAAATGAAACCTTTGCCGTAACTATGTTCTGAACGGACTTAGTAATGAGTTGTACAACGTGTACAACTCTGTTGGTTCTGCCAAAGAGCTTTGGGCTGCTTTGGAAAAGAAGTACAAGACTGAGGATGTCGGGGCGAAGAAATTCGTCGTCGGCAAATTTCTTGACTTCAAAATGGTTGACACTAAGACCGTTGTGTCTCAAGTGCAAGAGTTCCAACTCATCTTGCACGATATTCATGCTGAGGGAATGTCTCTGAGCGAATCATTCCAAGTTGCGGCTGTGATTGAAAAGCTGTCGCCGGGTTGGAAAGACTTCAAGAACTACCTCAAACATAAGAGGAGGGAAATGAGTCTTGAAGACCTGGTTGTTCGTCTTCGTATTGAGGAGGACAACCGTAATTCATCGGCGAAGACTCCGATGATAGAGGCTCGTGCTAACTTGCTGGAGCAAGGCCACTCGAGCAAGAGGAAGTCCCTTGACAAAGGAAAGCAGCCATCCAAGGTTTGGAAGTTTACCGGTACCTGTTACAACTGTGGAAAGCCAAACCATATGGCGAAAGACTGCAAGAGGCCAAAGAAGGCTGGGCCAAAGAAAGGGCAACCGAGTGCCCTTGTTGCTGAACACGACCCTGTGCCGGGTGAACTAACCGACTTTGATATGTCGGCAGTAGTGTTTGAAGCCAATATGGTGGATAACCCAAGGGAATGATACATCGATACTGGTGCCACTCGTCATGTGTGTTCCGATAAGGAGGTGTTCTCTGAATACACTCCTGCTAAGAGTCGGAAACTTTACATGGAAAACTCCGCCACGGCTGATGTGGCTGGAGTGGGCACTGTGGTGCTGAAGCTGACTTCCGGAAATGAGTTGAAGCTTAAGGATGTTCTGCATGTCCCAGACATCTGCAAGAATTTGGTCTCCGGATCTCTTCTTGTTGAGCATGGATTTAGGCTGGTATTTGATGCTAAGAAATTTGTTCTTAGCAAGTTTGGAACTTTTCTTGGTCGTGGCTATCTCGACAAGGGTATGTTTAAAATGAATGTAATGGTCGTGAGCCGTGTAACCGTTTTAAATGATAATGAAAAGCCTATTTCTGTTTATACCGTTGAGTGCTCTGATTTATGGCATATTAGATTGGGACATGTAAATCGAAATGCAATTAAACGGTTGATGAATTTAGAATTAATTCCTAATTCTAAAATTGAATCACATAAGAAATGTGAGATTTGTATTGAAGCAAAAATGGCTAAGTTGCCTTTTCACTCGGTGGAAAGGTGTACTGAACCACTAGGCTTAATCCATACTGATGTATGTGATATGAAAAGTGTGCAAACAAGAACGGGTAAAAAGTATTTTATTACTTTTATCGATGATTGCACAAGGTTTTGCTACTTATATTTGTTAAGAAGCAAAGACGAGGCTGTGGAAGCATTTAAAATCTATAAGACCGAAGTTGAAAATCAACTCGGCAAGAGGATTAAAATAATCCGAAGTGATAGGGGTGGAGAGTATATAGCTCCTTTTGAACAAATATGTTCTGAATATGGCATAATTCATCAAACGACAGCCCCTTATTCTCCACAGTCGAACGGTATTGCTGAACGCAAGAACCGTACGTTAAAAGAAAATGATGAATGCCATGTTGATAAATTCAGGATTACCACAGAACATGTGGGGGGAAGCTGTTTTAACAGCAAATCATATCCTGAATAAAATACCACCTAAAGGGAAAGATGAGACTCCTTACGAAATGTGGAAAAATCGTAAGTCGTCTTATAAATCCCTGAAAGTGTGGGGGTGTTTGGCTAAGGTTTCAGTACCGGAACCCAAACAAATGAGAATCGGGCCAAAGACGGTCGATTGTATATTTATTGAATATGCGTACAATAGTACAGCATATAGATTTCTGGTTCATAAATCAGAAAATCCAGAGGTATCTGTTGGTACCACGATTGAGTCGAGGAATGCTATATTCTTCGAGAATATTTTTCCTTTGAAGGAAAGAGCAGAATCTAGTTCTAATAAACGAACATATGAAACTGCTAGTGGTTCTGTACCAGAGGGTATTGCTGAAGAACCGAGACGTAGTAAAAGGGTAAACACGGCGAAAACATTTGGACCTGATTTTATTACGTACATGTTGGACGATGAACCGAGTTCCCTTAAGGAAGCTCTGTCTAGCCCAGATGGACCACTCTGGGAAGAAGCTGTAAATAGCCAAATCGAGTCCATTATGCAGAACCATACTTGGGAGTTGGTTGATCTCCCTGATGGTTGTAAACCTTTAGGATGCAAGTGGATCCTAAAGAAGAAATATAAAGCTGGTGGATCGATTGATAAGTTTAAAGCACGTTTGGTGGTCAAAGGCTTTAAACAAAAAGAAGGGTATGATTTCTTTGATACCTATTCACCAGTTACGCGTTTAGCGTCGATAAGGGTGCTTCTCTCGATTGTTGCTTTGCACAATCTTGAGATTCACCAAATGGATGTCAAGACAGCATTTTTAAATGGTGAATTGGAAGAAGAAATATACATTGAACAACCTGAAGGGTTTGTTGCACCTGGACAAGAGAGAAAGGTGTGTAGATTGATCAAATCCTTGTACGGACTGAAACAAGCTCCGAAACAATGGCATTTGAAATTTGATGACGTGATGTTGTCAAATGGTTTCAAAATCAACGAATGTGACAAATGTGTTTATGTCAAGAGTACATCAAATGCATTTGTGATTGTGTGTCTATATGTAGATGATATGTTGATCATGGGGAGTAGCCATGAAATGATCATGGATACGAAAAGAATGTTGAAAAGAAATTTCGACATGAAAGATATGGGTTTGGCTGAAGTTATTCTTGGAATAAGGATTATCAGAACCCAAGATGGAATTGTCTTGTCACAATCTCATTATGTAGAGAAAGTGCTCAAGAAATTTGATACCTATGACGGTGCACAGTCTAGGTGTAAGACACCCATTGATCTTAGTATAAATCTGGTAGCCAATAAAGGTCGACCAGTGGCTCAGTTGGAATATTCACGGATAATAGGGAGTCTGATGTACTTGACGAATTGTACACGGCCAGACTTGGCCTATCCGGTGAATAAGTTGAGCAGATTTACGAGCAATCCCAGTCATGAACACTGGAATGCTTTGAGAAGGGTACTTAAGTACTTAAGGTACACTCTTGAATACGGGCTAAAATACTCGAGATACCCAGCCGTACTTGAAGGGTACTGTGATGCAAGCTGGATATCAAATTTGAGAGATTCTCGCTCCACTAGCGGATACGTTTTCTGTATTGGAGGAGGTGCAGTTTTGTGGAAATCCACAAAACAAACGTGTATAGCTCGGTCAACGATGGAATCGGAATTCATCGCTTTAGATAAAGCTGGTGAAGAAGCCGAGTGGCTTAGAAATTTTTTATCCGATATTCCATGTTGGGATAAGACTTTGCCGCCTGTGATGATTCACTGTGATAGCCAAGCTGCTATAGGTAGGGCGCAAAGCAACTTGTATAATGGTAAGTCTAGACATATTCGTCGTAGACATAATACCGTACGCCAATTGATCACAAATGGTGTTATTTCCATTGACTATGTGAAGTCTAAGAAAAATTTGGCTGATCCTTTGACGAAAGGATTGAATAGAGATCAATTGGTAGTTTTGCTAGAGGGAATGGGCTTAAAAAACTACAATTTAAAGAATGATCATAGTGGTAACCCTACCATGCTAAGTGGAGATCCCACGAACTTGGTTCAAATAGCTTGAATAAAACTGAACAAAATGTACAAAGTTCGACGGCTACCCGACCGAAGTCAAATCTACAAAGTTCGACGAACAAAATGAACAAAATGTACAAAGTTCGACGGCTAAATAGCCTAACCCGATCAATTGGTAGTTTTTCTTATCGAAACGGTAGATTGAATAAAACTGAACAAAATGTACAAATTTTGACGGCTAAATAGCCTAACCCGACCGAAGTCAAATCTGAGGAACACACGCAGGTGCCCTAAATCAATACCAAACCTAGAAACAACTAGCAGCCCGGCAGAGCAATAGCATCTGAACCCAAGGCAACTAACGGAACATGAAACCAACAATGATCATCAGACAAAAGACAGCTAAAATACTAGACCAAATTAGCAGATATCTATCCAAACAACAGTAAGAAAAGCAGCACAACCTAAACTTAAATTTCAACCACTGAACTAAAGAACCTAGTTGATCCTTAAGCCTTTAGTCCCTGCTGTTTTCATATTCAATCCATTCATTCAATGCTGCCTCCACTACATCCCTAGCTGGTCTGAGAACATTTTGAAAGACCCAGTAGTTTCTCGATTTCCAGATCCACCAAAGGAGGTAGACTGTGAGGCAAACTCTATCATTATTGGTAGGATTTTGTTTGAGATAACATATCTTATTCCACCAAACTTTAAAGCTATCTTTGTCCTGTTCCAGCCCATCCCAAGTGAGTGGAGAAAGAGACCAAATCAATTTAGCTCTAGAGCATTGAAAGAACATATGCTCCATAGTTTCAGGTGCCTCCCCACAGTTTTTGCAAATGGTATCCAAGCAAACTCCTTTTTTGAAAAGGTTACAGTTTGTTGGGAGGAGGTTTGAGTAGCTCTTCATTAAGAAGTGCTTCAATTTACCTTTAACTGTCAAACCCCAACTTCTTTTTCTCACTCTCTTAGCAGTTAGGTGCTCCCAGCTACTCTCAGGGTTATCCATGTGACTCCATTTTAGATGAATGAGTTTATGGTATGTGGAAGCCACTGTAAAATCCCCTTTGGAGTTCCAGTCCCAACAAACCCTATCTTTTTCTGTAGGTTCCAAGCTCTTGATAGCTAAGATGGCTTCAATCTCATTCTCACTGAATGTCTCCTTAAGAAGCTCAATGTTCCATCTTCTGCCAGTACTATCAAGCAGGTCCTCTACCAATTTGATTCTAGAGTTTGCTTGTAGGGTTGAAGGTTTAAATCCTGGAAGAGAAGGTATCCATGGATGTTCCCACACATTGGTTGATTTCCCATCCTTTACTTCATGTCTTGAAGAGAAGGTAAACAAATTGAATGAGACAAATTGAATGGGAACCAATATCTCATCATTTCTTGAATTGCGTTAAGGGATTTATCATCAAATTTGTCCTTTTCCCAAATGATTGTCCAATTAAATTATAATAACAATTTTGAGCGTTGGATACTGTGCCAATTTGATGGCAATTTGTCTATTCCTCTCCCAGTGGCCTCTTTACTTCATTGGAATAATTATTTTGCTCCCTTATCTTTCAGTATAAATATGTGTGTTTAGTTGTTGAACATAGTGCACCGAACAGGAAAAGAAACACACGGCTGAAGAGAGAAAAAGAGAGGAAAGAAAGAAAACCAATCTAAAATAATTTTGGAGGGATAAAAAATATCAGAGAGAAAAATATAGAAATATTTATTTGTTATCAAAATAACAAAAGAGAGATATTTTTATTCTTATTTTTAAGTGTTCAATTCTCGACTCCGTTCCAGTTCGCCGGAGCTCGTAAATCTGGTGTGCTACAGATTTAGAGACGTTTGCCATTGTATCTTTGGGGAAGTTACGCCTAAACCGTTAGCTGCCACACGGGGCGTATTCTTCTTGCGGAAAGAGTTTTACTCGGCTCGGCTAAAATATTTCCGTTTTAAGTTTTAATTTATTTTTCGGTTGTAATTTATTTTTTAGTTCGATTGTAATTTTCTATTTTTTAGATTATTTGTAAGAACTGAAAAATACATATCAGTTCGTAGGATTCCCGTGTATTTTTATACCTAGTTGATAACAAAAACAACTTTAGTTTTCGTTTTCTAACTCAAGTTAATTCTCCTCAAATTTATTTAGTATAATTAAATAATATCAATCTATCGTCATATACATACATGATGTTATACCTAACAAATATCCAATCAAGAAGAAACCATGGCCCATGAACAGATTCTAGCCCAAAAGACGGTCAAAGGTCATAATACAGAAGTCACTACATGGATGGCCCAAGCGAACAACATTAGGGTTGCCGATAACTTCCCATGGAAGACTGTCGATCGCCTTTATTATCTGAATATACACTGAGAAAGCCAGTAGCACCGCACAAAGCTATCTCATCCACTTTTGCATGAAAACACTACGTCCTGCACTCCGCATTTAATATGCCTTCACCCTTTTTGTGTATAAATACAAACCCTCAAAGACCAAAGGGGCAAGCAAGATCCATAAAAATAAAGTATACAAGGGTGAATCACTATCTTAGCATCACAATCAAATCTCCACCCCATACTTCTACAGAACATGTGTCTGATACTGAAGATCACATTTTATAAAATCTTCAAATAAAATTTTGGAGAAACCATCTCATTGTCAATTGCCACTGCCTCATCGGCAAAATTGGTGTCTTGTTCTTTTTTTGTACATCTTTATTTTATTGCGATCTTTTCAAGTCCCATATTATTTAAAATCTTTTATTTTATTGCGATCTTTTAAGTAGGGCTGCCATTTTTTGACCGAAAACTGAAAACCGAATCGAATCGTACTCCAAAAAAAACCAAACCGAACCGACTCACTTAAAACGATAACCGATTATCGGTTACCGATATGTTATCGGTACGGTATCGGTTTCGAAACCATAGAGGTTCGGTTTTACCGAACCGAACCGATAAGGATTTTTTTTTTTAAAAAAAATAATACTTAATATTAATAGTTAATAACTTAATATTAATAGTAATAACTTAATACTAATAATTAATAACTTAATACTAATAACTAATAAGTAATAACTTATGTTATAGAGCTTGTGTGAATGCATAACAAAGCAAACCGCTTTTGTATATAATTACTAAGCAATATTCAGGACTTAAAAACAGTCATAAGCAATATTCAGGAAATTCAACAGTTGCCGACATTTAATATGGATTAATTTTATGGTTTGTATATTTCTATTAATCACTGTATAAGTACAATAATCAAATTTTATGGATTAATTTTATGGTTTGTATATTTCTATTAATCATTACAATAATCAAATTTTATGGTATGTATATTTCTATTAAAATACTCAAAATATTTGATGAGTAATTTTATGGTTTGTATATTTCTATTAATCACTGTATAAGTACAATAATCAAAATTTAATGAGTATTAATTTCATGAATGCTCGATTACCCATCAGGTCACCCTATAACCAAGGTATATAGTATTGAGAAATCGAAATAAACTAGTATTGAGAAATGGAAATAAACTGAGGTTATCTAACATAACCAAAGTTTTGTGTGGAAATATATTAAAAGAAAGTTGAATTATTTGTGTGGAAATATATTAAAAGAAAGTTGAATTATTTTTAAATATTAATAAGAGTTTATTGAGACAGAATTATATTTTTTTATTTTTATTTTATAACTATTTTTACTTTTATAATTATATAATATTTGGTTGGAAAAATAAATTAAAACAATTCCATATTTATATTGAAATGGAAGAACGGTGATTATTTAATCGTTTGTCTACGCCAAGAGATCTGAAATTTTCTAGATGTTTTGTATCTAATAATTGTTTTGTGTTTCTACCGTCTGTCACAACATTACTCAAACGGTCAAACCTCAATCTAATCAGTTAGCGTAAACATTTTATTTGTTCAACCAACCATTTTGTTGTAAAGAAGTAACATTGTGAGGGCATTTATTCTTGAATCCACATTCATATTTCCCCTTCCTGCATGAAAATATCAAAATAATCCGCTCTAAACAATTTTCTTGAATCATCACTAGCATTTCCCCTTCATGTATGAAAACATCAAAATAATCCACATTTTAACAATATTTGATTTCTTGTTGGTGGAAAGGGTGCTGGCTGCTGGAGCACTTAGGTTCTTGTTGGTTTTCTCGAGCCTCTCCTCGATTCATTTTAGTAAATAGCGGCGTTGACACGAATGATTCAGTTAACGTTGGTGAAACTGATGAGGATTTGATTCACCCCTTTCTTTTTTTAGGGATTGAATTCGTTCTCTTTCAAGCGTACTCTTCTGTGGTACCAGCCCCTTGTCTTGTATAGGGTTCCAAACCTGCGCTTCTTCAAATATCCCATAAGTGGGAGCTGGGGGCTCCTCGTTGCCTTTATTACTCCCATCTTTATGGTTCTTGGACAAATGGAAATAACTTTTACCTTTCGAAGGCATTCATAGCCGCGGGAACTTGGAATAAAAACCTTGATCCGTCTTCGGCTTCGATTCGTTATGCTCAGCAGCTTCAACGCATTTGTGTTAGCTTGTTTTCATAGTTTTGGCATTCTGTGCCGCCCGAGGGCTTGATTTTCTCATTGCCCGTATTTGCCGGCTTCAACTGGTTTTAGTTGGATAGGTTGTTATGTAATCAATGGATTACTGGATTATGCCTTGTACCTATTTGAGTTTAATTTAATGGTTGCCGTTTTATGGGNATTCCATTTCGATTTGATATTCGTATTGAATATATAAATTTAAAACTAATTATACTGACTTTTACAAATAAACACATAGCTAGAAAACGCTCTCTTCTCTCTCCTTAGGAAAAAACCCAATCTTGCCGAAGAAATCCTATTCTTCCACATCGCCGCCCCTCCTACACCTCAAGCTCGCTGCTGCGCCACTGGAATTGGAGCTCGTCTATTCGGGGCTGAGGACATTTCCGTCTCCTCCGGGCTTTATGGGAGGTTGGGTTGGAGAGCTCTCGCCCCCGCTGGGTCCGAGTTGCTTCGTCACCTAGCCATCCCCAGCCATGGAGGAGACTGCCGGCAACAAGAATTCAGGCCCAAGCCTCGAGGAGGTACCGACTATTGTTTCGCCGAGAGTCTTGTTGTTCATGTTTTGGGTCTTTTGGTGTGGCTTGCTGTCCAATTTGATCCCTCTTTTTAGTACTCCGGCGAGGCGTGTTGGTGTCATCACGGCGGCTTCCTCTCCTCCCCAAGCGTGGATGGTTTTTCGAAGTCCAGATCTGAACCGAGAGCAGTCTCTTCTTTCAGATCCGTCTAGGCGGCACGAGTAGCCGCAGTTTTTGGGCTTGAGGTTCCGGTTTGTAGTTTTGTTGGATATCTTTGCTAGTGGATGTGGATCGTGTGTGGTCCGGGGTAGTTAGGCATCGAGTCTGTTAGGTGTAGGGGAGGTTATAGTTTATTTGTACATTAGGTGTGTATTTTTTTTTTCTTTATAGTTTTTGTGTGTCAGTCCAGCTTGTCTGGTTTATCTCCTTTATGGAGTTGTCTTTCCCTTTGTGGAATTTTGTTTTGGGTTGCGGTTGCCTCTTTGTTGGAGTTGTACCTCTTGGATTTCTCCGGAAGTCCAAGAGGATAAGTCCAGTTATCTGGCTCTTTGGTGCCAGTTGACATGGCCTCTGTACTCTTTTTGATTTTTCTAGTAATCTATTTGTTTGCTGTTGGAAAAAAAAAAAGACCTTTACATATAAAATTTATATTATCTACCAATTATAGATTTATCTATGTGATATGGCTATAAGATTTATTATAATATATATGAAAGCATCAAAACAATCGTCTTTAACTTATTATATAATGTGAGTAGAGGCGAAACTACATGTATCACTAGGGTGCAATTGCCCCCATCAAAGTTTTATTTTTTTTACTATTATAATTAAAAAAATTAATTTTCCCCCCTCTTAAATTATTTTTTGCACTCCCAAATTTTTTTTCATGTCTTTTGTCCCCTCTCAATTAATTCCTGGTTTCGCCCCTGATTATGTGAGTTATAAAAATAATTATAATATCTGACATATTATATGGTGTGAGCATAAAAAACAATCGCCTTTAATTCGATTTGGTATTAGTTTTGCATATATATAATTAAGAGAAAATTACACCACTTATCATCAAAAGTAATTTTATTTGCACATTATTCATCATTTACTTTTTTTCGCAATTATACTAACAATTAAATTTTCTCTCACCATTTTCTCTCTCTTTTTTACTAATTATTTTTCCTGTGATATTTTCTCTCTCTCATTTTTTCCACGGTTCAACTTCCTCCATGGAGGCCCCACCACTCTCCACCACTCCCCCAATTCCCTCCATCACCCCCTAAAATCCGGCGGCCTACACGAACTCCGGCCACGCCACCCCTCCGTCGTCGAAGCTTCGCCTGATGTGCGGCTACGGTGGCCACATCGTACCCCGCCCCCACAACAAGGCCCTCAGCTACGTTGGCGTCGATACTCATATCATCGTCGTCGATCGCTATGCCACCCTCTCCGACCTCCATCGCTGCCTCTCCAAGAGCCTCCTCCGCGAGCAGCCTTTCTTTATTCCATTTTTTTTTTTTTGTGAATTGGTGATGGCAGTATATATTGCGTGTTTAGGCCGTATATGTTCAGTATATTTTGTATAAACTAATCTAGTATATATTATGTGTATATCTTCTGTATATATTATGAAAAGATCGGGTCGTATATGTTCAATATATTCTGTATAAAATAATCCGGTATATAATATGTATATATCTTCTATATATAATTTCTGTATATATTATATATATATTACGAAAAGATCGTGTATTTTCTGTTTTAGTACAAGAAAATATTAGAGTCAATTTGAGTATAAGATTGTGTAATTTCAAAATCTGATCCTTTCCTTTTTTTAAAAACAGATCGTGTATGTAACATCAAGATGACCGAATTTATAGACTTCCCTTTTTTTCTTCAAAACAATGAGCTAATGGCGTGATTATAGGGAGTGAATATAGGGAGTATATTATTTTGGTAACTGATTCATTTTATTCTTCCATATTAAATGCATTTTTTTTAGGTACATATCCAAATAAAATCCTTCTCCTGGTAGGATTGCAATTTCTTTTGTATCTTGTGGTAAGTAAAAAAATTCGCCTATAATTAAAAAGAGGAGTTCTTGCATTGAGGCTTGCTTTAATGATGGGTAGGCTTGTTGTGCTGAGGCCCTTCTGTGGGAGGACTATAGGGTTGCAAATGAACCGAGCGGCGAGCACTCGAGTCAAAGCTCAACTCGAGCTCAAGTTTGACTGAACTCAAGTCGAGTTCGAACCCATATCTTGTATTGTCGAGCGGCTCGAGATATATGTTGAATTACTAAAATACTCCTTATATATACATATATATTACAAGAGTATAACATAGGTGTTTAATGGTAATTTTATTTTTCAACTTAAAAATTTTCGATCCAAGCTCGAGCTCGAGCGATTGTACTTTTTTATCTAGTCGAGTTCGACAAGCTCGAGCAGCTAAGAAAAAGAACCAATTTTGCTCGATGAGGCCAATGCTCGATTCAGCTCGACTCGTTGGTAGCCCTAGGGAGGAGCCACGGCTCTGACCGCGTACCTTCTGATTTGATCGTTTTGAACCAAAAAAACACTTTTTAGGGGAATATTTACTTATATATATAATATTTAAATTTATCTATTGAAAATTCAAAATAAGAACTTTTATTTTTATTGGTAAGTTTTCAAATTTTTAAATTAACACCAAATGAAAGTTGTAAATTAAAATCCAGTTTTATTAACCATGTAAAATAGAGTCCGGCAACCTGTATTTTAAAATAGAGAACAAAGAAAGCATCCAAATAATAGACAAATAATATTTCTATTTGTTCTTCAAATAGAAGTTTCAGACATTCAATAACAATTAACACCAATCCCCAATTAACAAACCAAACATCATCACAAAGATCTACTAACAACACCAAATCCACATATCTCAATACCACTTACATACATAATCAGCCACAAAAACACAACCCTTTTAGCTTCCATCTCTTTCACAAAGGCCACAACACTCACAGTTTTTCACACTATCAATCACCTCACCTCACGGCCTGGCCCGGCCCATCACCCATACTCCTCCTCCGCACCTCATCCGTAACATCATCGCCAACAAACCGAAGGTTGCAAAGCAAAGCATCTCTCCCGCTCAGAATAACCTTGAAAAACACGTCCACTTCCTTCGCAAGCTCGTTAAGCCCCAAATACAGCTTCTCACCCTTATCCTCCAAATCCGACACAACCTTTATCAAATTTTTCTCAGATTCCTCCCGAACACCATCTTGCACAACAAGGTACAACTTATTCACCACCGAGTACACATTCTCCACCTCTCTCAACACCGCGAACTCTTTTCTTATTTCCGCATTCACGAAATTCTGAAGATCGAAAACAGCCTCGGCCCAAGAGCAAACCTCAGGGACAACTCGTAAATCAATCAGCTTCTCCCCCGAGCCCGAGAATGCTGCAACGAATATACTGCAAACGAATAGAGTCAGCACTTTGACTCCAAACATGGCCCGCATCAAGACTTTCCCTTTCGGCGGGAAATTCTTCATTTTCGGAAAATCGAGAGTTTTCGCGAGACACCCATCGAGCCTCGGATTTTTCTTGGTGGTGACTAAATGAATCCACTCGTCGAGTGACGAGCGTGCCTTGGCTAACTTTTTCGGCCCGTCTCGAAGGTCGTGCAAGGCGCACGTGAGGTGGAGGTGGGCCCGCCTAAGGCGGGAGATCTCGGAAGTGAAAAAGAGACAGGTGTCGAGAAGCTTCATGCTGTTGGTTAAGTAAATATCGATCCACTTCTCGTCCCAATCACGGACGGGTAGCTCGAGGGCGGTGATGAGGACTTTTATGTCCGCGTGGGTTTCGCAGAGAGAGCGAGTTGCGTTTTTCATCCAAGAGAGAGAAAGGATGTCTTCTCGTTTTGCGGGCTTTAGGTCTTTGAGCCTGCGAGTTAGTGTGTCTTCAAAGGTGTTGAGTAAATCGAGGTGCTTGGAGGAAAGGGAGCCACCCTTGGGGAGTATTGTTCGGAAGGGGTTTGTGAATGGGAGGAAGGTCCTTTGTGGCGGCTCGTGAGGACTCATTTTGTACGTGCTTTTACTGATTGAGAGGGGAAAGGAAAAAAAAACGGTGAGATACATGACTAAAATAGTTACTTTTTTTTTTTTTTCNTCGAACATTCGACATTGATAACACTGGTTTTTCCCCAAAATTTGAGTTTCGAGAGTATTGTGTGCTCAAATATCAAATGGGAACATAAGATTCGGCACTGTCATCAAACCTGATTAATATAGTTTACTTTTAAAGAAATTGGAAAAAAATTATATAGATCAAGCACAGTATAAGCTCACTAACAAGTGGATTGAATGGAATCCCCACAAATACAATTCATATTTTGCAGAACTGCAGCTTGAGCACATCAAGTTCTCCAACAAATGAAAAAAACGAAACACATACTAGAACTTAAATAACTGTAGAAACTAACCCCACCCCAAAAAAAAAGACCTTAACTTCATTTTCAGATCATTCAGATTAAGAAATTTGATTAAATTCCTTCATAATTCCACAATTCAACTAAGAAACTCAACAATAAAATAGATAGCAAAACAAAAACGAATCAAAAACAGATAAATTCAAGTCTGAAACTCATGATTTCAAACTCATGATTTCAAATTCAAGTCTGAAACTCATGATTTCAAACTCTAAAATATACCTTATGCAAAAGCCCAAGGCAAAGAAAAGCATGTCAAAACGGGGGGGAGAGAGAGAGAGAGAGAGAGAGCCGTACCAGAAATAGTACAGGAAGAAGCGTAGAGAAATGGAGATAAATTCTGGAGAGTGTTAAGCAAAATGGTATGTAGGGTTTGCGCTTTGCGGGTTTTTGGGGAAAAGAGCATGATTTGCTTTTATCTTTATCGCCAATTGACATAAAAATGGTGTTTTGGGCGGACACGCAGACGCAGGTGTGTGATGTGAGTGGATGTTAGGTGATGACGGTGTAGGGTTAGGCGGTGGGGACGCCAGCAGGAGATAGGAATCCGCAGTAACGGTAGGATACTGGGTGCGGTGGTAGTCACATGCTCCAAACACAAATTCTAATCCTTGCCTTGTTTAATAATGTATCATATTTTTTTTTAATAAATATTATAAAATACACTACATATTTTTCTATTATTACCTTCATCTAACTAATAAATACACTATATCTTTTTATATTCACTTCTCATACAACAACAACAACATAGTCTTTTAGTCCCAAGCAAGTTGGGATAGGCTAGAGATGAAACCCAAGAAAACCAATGGTAAGAGAAACACAAAAAAGGTTCAAAAACAAAAGGAAGAGATTGGAGTAAAAGAAAAAGGAGCAAAAGTCACGGTTCTGGCACGTTGATTGCTAGCCTCTAAGCGCTCCTATCCACCCAAATCCTTAGAAATATTCCAATCTTTAAGGTCTCTCTGAACCGACTCTTCCCAAATCAGTTTAGGCCGACTTCTACCTCTCTTTACATCATCGACCCGCTGTAAAACTCCCCTATGCACCGGTGCATCAGGAGGCCTCCGTTGAACATGTCCGAACCACCTCAGCCGATGTTGAACCAATTTCTCCTTATTTGGAGTCACCCCGACCCTATCTCGAATATCCTCATTCCGGATTCTATCCCTTCTTGTGTGCCCGCAGAACCAGCGCAACATACGCATCTCTGCTACACTTAGTTGTTGCACATGTTGCCTTTTTGTAGGCCAACATTCAGCACCGTATAGCATCACCGGGCGAATCGCCGTCATATTGAACTTACCTTTTAGCCTTTGTGGCACCCTCTTATCATAGAGAATGCCCGAAGCTTGACGCTATTTCACTTCGCATATTTTCTCAAAATATTCATCTCTATCCTCATTAATAAGGGTTATTATTGACAAAATTTTTTTTATTATTGTACAACTTCTCAAAACGACACTTATTAAAAAAAGGAGGGAGTGTTTAATTTCACCTCCGTCCAAAATACGTATACCAGAAAAATTGAGTATTAGAATCCAAGGAGAAATAGTAACTGTTATTCCAATCTTTGAAGAAACACCAAGCCATGAAATTCTTTATCTATGTGGACAGATATGTACTACTGACAGTGATCACTTATTTTTGCAGCATCTTTTAGATGTAATAATTGTGTTTTGTGTATAATTAGTTGCAGTTTTAGATATCTTGGTGTATAAGCATTGCTCTGTAATTCATGTAGTTTATGAAAATCATGTAAATTGGACGTTTGTTTTAACTATACAACAAAGTTTTTGATTAAGAAAATCTCCACACTATATTTTATCTTTGAAGAGATAAGATCTGATAGTTTTAAGAAAAGTCCCACACAAATTTGTCTAAGAAATGCCACCCCAAATGCGCTGCTCCATACAATGTTTTCTTCAGTTTTACACTTTATGCTTATGCTGCAAGTATATTATTATTCAATGGGTATGGTTTATTCCAAAACTGTCTATAAATGTTGTTTATAGACTAGTTACCAAGAAAAGAAGTCATCCTTTACAAGAACAAATATTCTTGAGGTTTATATATTCTGCTGAACTAGTCTAACTATTAGATGGGTCGAACTGTAATACTTTATTTTAACAAAAAATGCATGCTTATATTATAAAGTGACGTACATTTATTTATGTTGTTTATTAAAAAGTGACATTTGAGTTTTAAAGTATGCATTTATTGAAAAAGAAAATAGTTGTCCATTATGTCTGTTATAAGGCGGCTTTACCGCTTAAAAGATTTGTTAGTGGTGTCCTGGTTTAGACTTAGACTTAGGAGAAGGATTTTATATATGGTGAATCATATTATAAGTTTATAACGATGCATTTGTATTCAAAAAAGTACGATGAGTCGACCTAAAGCTAATAAACTAAATGAGTCCCTCGTGAGCTGGGCTCGTCTCGACTCGTCTCGTTAAGGCTCAAACTCGTTTTCAGCTCGTTTGATAAACTAGCCGAACTCACGAGATTGCCTCGTTAAGGATCGACCTCTCCTTTGTCCAACCAAATTCGTTTCGATAACGACAGGCTTGATAAGGCTTGAAAAGATAACTTTAATACAATTTTTATAATTCAGCTTGTTAAAACTCGAGATCGTCTAGTTAAGACTCGAACTTTGGCTCATTGATATTGATAAACTTGCTGAGTTTGAGCTCGATTTCTAGCTCTTTTAGACCTAGATTTCGAGCACCTTCAGCTCGAGCTCGGATCTGTTCGGTTACAATCTTAGACCCGTCTAACCGTTGGGTTCGTCCTACACCGTAGATAGTGTTAACAATACCCGCTTAAGCTCACCAATTCCTAAAATTCCAATTTGATTGTTCATCTAAAGGTCCCTCACATATGTTATCTCTTATGTGCTAATCTCACGTTTATCCTGTAAGAAAGGCTCCAAAAAAGGAAGCAAAAGACATGGCCTACATATCCCATGTCCAGCCTAAGCCAAAAATAAACACTTCTATTTATACATCCATTTGCCAGCTTGCATTCATCCCCAATACAACTACTATCTTCATATGAGCAAAGATTATTGATTGGGCCTCATTCATGTCCCAATATGGCAACAATGCTATGCCGATGCACAATAGTTACTGACCGACCCCGACAAGAACTAACAACATGACAAGAGCATGAATATAAATGCCAAACAGAATTATAACTCATCAATTATCCAACGTCACGCAATAAGGATGTACTTGATAATAAATTCCGAGTCCCAAAATATGAATGTGCAGTTTCAAAATCCTAATTTCACAAGCTAAAGCAATGTCACAAAAGGCATGGCATGTCTCAGCCACAAAACACGTTGTGCGTAACTGTTGAAACTAAGGGTATGTAAAATCATATCTAATTATCTATAATACGATCACGCAAAAAAGTGGGTCGTCACGCGTTGTTCTTACATTAACATATAAAAAGTGATAAATAAAATCATGCCAAAAATAATTCGTTTTAATTTATACAGAAAAGAATAATCACTCATTTTACATATGCTAATGCTTTGGGTTGACTTACAAGGTAACAATGGTAATAAATATTGCAAATGGTATAAATAAGTTGAGCATAATATCTTTTTTTGTCGAAAGAAATCCAAAAACACAATTATTATCTCCTTCGAGCTGGCATACTGTGGTTTCTACTGCTATCATCTTCACTAATATCAGAGATACCTTCAGTGTATCGTTTATAAGCTGACTCAGGGCCCTTAATTTTGTCTTCTCGGAGGGAACTGGATGATTCTTGAGCAATTCGACGTTCCTGAATTTAGAACAGCCTTTTTAGCAAACAGCAACTTTTGTAAATCACATACTAGACTACATTACTACACTTCATTATCCAAATTTTGGATTGTTTTTTAATGGAGGCCAGTTACAATTCTGGTAAGCCATTGGCATTTGCTTAATAAATTGCCTCACAAGGTATATTCTTACAAAATTTAGATAAGTAATATACTGGGTATGTCGTCGTTGTTGTTGTATCTATGGAGTTTCTTGTAAATTTTCAACTATAACTGTTCCTTTTAATTACTAATTAATTTGTGTTAAGTGTATATTTTGTCATTAAAATTAGAAAAATATAATAATAATTTTAGGGGTTGAACTTGAGAATGTAGGTAATCGAGGCTGGGTGAATAAATTGTCAGACTTACATCGCGAGATAGCAAGTCCTCAGACTCCAGCATATGTATTATGTGGCCCATTTTCGGCCTCTTCTGGGCATCGGGATCAACACACCGCAAGGCCACCAGAATAACACGTTTCAGTGCTTTTGCAGCAGGTCTTTCAGGCAATTTAGGATCTATCACCTCCTCTGATTGCCGATTCCCAACCATCATTTTCAGCCAATCAACTAAATTAACCTGCAATTAAGAGAGTTTCTAATTAAGAGAGAATTTTCAGTTATTGGGTGAAACTAGAGTTAATTACAAAATTACCATTGCAGTTAAGGCCAAATATAGTTGAGAAAGATATATGTTCTTATTTTACAACTACGGGAAATTTGTCAACGAAAAAGTAAGGGCTAATTTTTGTAATTTATTCTCAAAACTAACCTCCGGCTTTGGCCTACTATAATCAACAGGAGATCTTCCAGTGATAATCTCCATAATCAGTATTCCAAAGCTATAAATATCACTCTTCTCATTCAGCATGCCTGTGCAAGCATATTCTGGAGCAACATATCTAGCAGAAAGATGGAAGGCGTTAATTGCAGTACCAACTTAAAGCAACTTGGTTTCATTACAAGTAAACACACACGAAAACATTTTATAACAACAGTGACTTACCCAAAAGTTCCCATCACTCGAGTAGTCACATATGAGTTCTCTGAATTCAAAAGCTTAGCAAGACCAAAATCAGACAACTTAGCATGCCACTGACGGTCGAGCAGTATGTTGCTGGACTTAATGTCTCGATGAACAACCTTTGGTTCGAGACCCTCATGCAGGTAAGCCAAGCTGCCACAAAGACAAGCTCAAGAAGTAAGTGGCCAGGCAAAAACTATGTTATATGTAACATGAAAACACAGTAACTTTGTATAAACATACCCCTTTGCAGTTCCAAGAATTATATTCATACGGATCTCCCATGTCAAAGGGCTGACATCACCTACATCACCATGAAGCCACTGGTCCAAATTTCCGTTATCCACATATTCATAGACTAACATCCTACATCATAAGAAATTGAAAAGGACGTTCAGTTTTTTGATGCTCAAGTATAAAATAAACGTAAAGTTACCATAACAAAATAATTACAAATACCTGTAAGCTCCTTCAACACAGTACCCAAGCAACCTAACAAGATTCTTGTGTCTGACACGTCCAATAGCTTCCACCTCCACTTTGAACTCCTTTTCAGCCTGACCCCTGAAAACAATGATAAGCATAAATTAAGTATATTGGCAATATACATAAACAGCTAGATCTTTGAGATCTTTTGTCAAAATAAAAAAGTTCAAGTTTCTTCGGAGAGAATGACAGAA